CTCATTGCAGGAACATGGCTGCCTGTCTCCGTAACCCGGGAAATTTTGGATAAATACAAAGACTCGTTCACCGCGCGATGGGTGGGACATCTGGGAAAAAAGCTCTTTCCAAGGTTCGGTCTGGGTTCCCAGGACATTGTCCTGCGGGGCTCCCTGCGCCAGGGGGAGCTCTTCCCGTGGGGCCCTGTCCTCAGTCTCCACCTGGGCCCCTTCCCTCCCCGTCTCCCCTGTCTCTCCCTCAGGCCCCTCCTGCCTGAGCCCCCATTCTGTCCTGTGACCCCCTGACTTTCCTTCATCTCACTCTGGGCTCCTTGGCCTTCATGGTGCCTGGATCAGGGTGTGGTTGTCCTTACCCCGTTTCACAGCTGAGGACCTGGCCCCCAGGGGTGCCCCGTACAGGGTCCTACAACCAGTCCAGCGGGGCATGTCCTGTGGGTGCCCTCGGGGACTGGGCGTGCTTGGGGTCAGGGAAGTGTCCCTCTAGCACTTCCCAAAGCCATGCCCAGTGAGATGGGGTCCCCTCCAGGGACCCGGGGCCCACCCTTCTCCTGAGATTCGCTGGCACCAGCTCCCAGGGACCCTGGAGTCAGAGCCAGGGGAGGCCCCGCAGGAGGGCGAGTGCAGGAGGCTCTGTGCGTCTCAGCCTCCTAGTGGGGTGGAGGGAAGACGGGGCGGGATGTCTTAGCTTTAAAATCTCATCCCCGGAGGGTGTCCCCTGGGGCTTCCGCACGTGCCTGTCCCTGGCCGGCTGCCCGCCCACCGAGCCCCTCCCCCGCAGCCAGGCCGAGTGGGAGCAGCTGCTGGGCCGCTGCGAGGGCTTCTTCTTCTACGGGATGGAGAACTTCCTGTCGCACTTGTCGGTGGAAAGGTTGGCTGCCATGAACTTGGAAGGTGAGCGGGTCCTCTCCTCCGGGACCGCGGGCGCCAGAGGACTAGGCGTAGGACAGAGCCGCCTCGGCAGGAATGTCACCTCTCAGGGCCCCCATTTAGCTTCCAGGCCTGGCAGACCACAGGGCAGGTGGGGGTCACCCTCCCCGTTCGGGCCTGCGGGGGACGTTTTTTGCGTGTCTGCCACACGCGGGTCACCCGCCCTGCCCACCAGCCCCTCTGTCTGAACTTCCGGCCCCCACCCCAGGACACCGCACAGGGGCTGGCGGCATTTTCAGGGACCCCTCACGGAGGCCCCTCCCCTTCGGGTGCGTGTCCCCATGGATGGCAGCCTGGGGACGCTTGTCCCGGTCTCCTTTCCAGCCCCCACTCACGCCGTGGGGCCACGCAGGACAGGACCCCACTCCACCCTGTAAGCATGTCACCTGGGAGGTAGAAACAGGGCCTCTTTGAAACTGACCCGAGCCTTCCCAGACGGGATGGCCAGGGAGCCCAGAAATGTGAAGGTCACAGGCCTCATGGGCCACGGCACCGCCAGGCCCACTGCTCCCCACAGGCCTGTGTGTAAAAGCTGGAGGGTCTGCCTGCCCCCGGGGCCGCCCGAGGCCCAGCCCAGCAGGCCGTCC